GAGGATGCCCACATCCCAGAGAAGATGAATATCAGGATAAGGGTGGTGAAGGGCCAGTGACATCCCCCTGGAGAGGCTGGGCCTGAGGCAAATTACCCTATAACAGCAGGTTAATTAGATAAGACCCAAATTACATGAGCAAGGCTTGCAAGCCCAGCACTTTGAAGGTTTCATGTTGTCTCAGAGCTGGGGAGGGCTTGGTCTCTAGCTCAGCACAGAGAAAATAACTTCTTGCTCCCAGGCAAGCCAAACCCATGAATTAAGCTCTTGACTGCCCATCCACAAGCCCCAGTGCCAAGCACATATAAGGAAGGGCACCTGTCAGTCCTCACAGCCACCTGTGGAGCCCGTGTGGGATTTTGCCTTCGTCCCTCCTGCCTCTGAGTTCTGCCTCCACCAGCAGCATGAGCCGCCAATTCACCTGCAAGTCGGGAGCTGCCACCAAAGGGGGCTTCAGCGGCTGCTCGGCTGTGCTCTCAGGGGGCAGCTCGCCCTCCTACCGGGCAGGGGTCAAAGGGCTCAGCGGGGCCTTTGGCAGTCGGAGCCTCTACAGCCTGGGGGGCGCCCGGAGCATCTCGTTCAATGTGGCCAGTGGCAGCGGGAAGAGTGGAGGTTATGGATTTGGCCGGGGCCGGGCCAGCGGTTTTGCTGGCAGCATGTTTGGCAGTGTGGCCCTGGGACCTGTGTGCCCGACTGTGTGCCCACCTGGAGGCATTCACCAGGTCACTGTTAATGAGAGCCTCCTGGCCCCCCTCAATGTGGAGCTGGACCCGGAAATCCAGAAAGTGCGTGCCCAGGAGCGGGAGCAGATCAAGGCGCTGAACAACAAGTTTGCCTCCTTCATCGACAAGGTGGGTCTGCTGGGACCTGGGGAACCTGTGAACAGCATCTCTTCTTGGAATGTGAGCTTTCATTACAGCTCGAGGGATTGAAGTTAGATATGGAGAGGCACCTACTGTGGACAAGACAGATATTTTCTAACATCAGTGTAACTTGTGTAAGGTTCCTTGTGTAGTCTAGTCTTTTCCTAGAAAAGACAGAGGTAGGTCAATCTCTACTGGCAGAGGCTTATCACGGTTAGTGGCAGGAGTGCCTAAGAGAAGAACCCAGCTTCTTACTCGTAAGGGCCAGATTGGTACCATTACTAAGCCTGAGTCCAAGCAGATTGATTGTGTGCAGAAAAGCCAGGGAGAGGGAATCTGCCCCAGAGTAACCAGGAAAGCTGTCCTCGTGTCCATAGCCAGCTGATCTTGTCCACTAGTCATTTGACTGATGGCCCAGGAGCATCAGTGCCTGGTCCTTCCCTGATGGCTCTGCCAAGGGCATTTGTTTCTGTCAGCTGAGGACTTTCTTGAGAGGCAGAAGAGTGCATTGGGGAAGTCAGACCTGGCTTCCGCCCTGGTCCATCATTTGCCAGCTGTGCACTTAGGGAGAGTTATTTATCTTGTCTGTGCCTCTGTTTCCTCATCTCTACAATGGGGATAATAACCTACTTCTTGGAGTTGTTGTCAGGTTTATAAAAGGAAATGCATGTGAAGGTCTTGGCACAATGCCTGACACATACTAAATACTCCCCCAGGGTGATTATTGTTCCTATCGTTTTAATCTCTGGAGAGCTAAGGGAAGGGTGTTGAGAAGAGCATCAAAGGTCTGGAAGAGACCTCAAGGGATCATCTAGTCTAGACAGGCCCCTGACTTTCGGTAGATAAGAAATTGTTGCTCCCATTTTATGAGTCAGCAAAAGCATGGAAGTGAAGGCCATGCCCAGGGTCATCTGAGGGAAAGAAGACGAGGTTGGACACACAGCCTCCTGCTTCCAAATCCAGCACTGGGGACTGGAGGGCTGTGTTGGCTACATGACAGTGAGGCACCAACGACAGCTCAGCCCAGGACAAAGCCAATGGCTGAGATGGTCATCAGCCACAAGAGTCTAGCTGTACCCCTCACCCCCAACTCCCTGCAACTCTCAGCCCCTACTGCCCTGCTCACCTAGGGGCCAACACCGTCTTTGTGGCTTCTTACTCTGCTAAGTCATTTCACATCTGAGAGATCAAGGTGTTCTGAGATTTGGGGCTGGGGCATAGGAACTGACCTTTGGCTGGGCTGGTCAAACAGCATTAAAGGATGTAGTCTGCAGACATGGAAAGAAAGACAAACATAAAGATAGTCACTCCTATGAACAAAGGTGGTCTGACTGGTGAGGGGGGAAACAGGCTTCAAGGCCTGGACAGCTCCTAAACCATTTTAGTCTCTAGAAGAGCACAATCCCATAACCCAGGCGACCAGAGGTGAGTGCATCTTATCAGCGATCCAGGTGTGTCCAATGTGTGGTCCAGATATGGATTGTAATGTCCTGGGTATAGGGTTTACTCTGTGGTTAATGCTCAGCCTTGTGGATATACATGAAAAAGTCAGGACTGGTTAAACCAAATCAAATGCTGGCTGATCTGTTGGAGGCAAGCTGTTTGGTGGCTAACCCATCCCAACGAGTTAGTTTTCTGGTGTCCCAGACAGTTTTCCAATCTCCTGTATTTCTGACTTCAGGGATTCAACCTCATTTAAACAGTAGCCCGTCCCCCAAAACCAAATAAGAGAGGTATGTGCAGATCCACCCCTCTGGGCAGTTTCCTGGTCCAGTGAGGCCACAGTGGCACGGGGAGCTCCATCTGTCCACAGAGAAGATGGCTCTGCGGAGCAGGACGAGGGGAGGAGGAAGGGGCCATGAGCCAAGTAGAGCTAGGGCCTTCCAGGAGGTTAGAATAGCTGAAGCTCTTGGCCCATTGAGCCTCTATGAGCTTGATGTGTTAAAAAATGAACAGCAGACACTTTCTTCAGAGCGGTCAGCCTTCCCAAGGACAGACACAGCCTGACTGTCCTGGCAGCTTCAGGACATACCTGCACTGTGCTGGGTGGCCGTGGTGGGTCCTGAGTGACTGGATGTGTGAGTCATGGGGCCCACGTCTGGGTTCAGTCCTGGGCTCTACCACTTATTTAACCATCAGATCTTGGCTAAACTTCTCTATGCCTCAGTTTCCTCTCCATCAAATAGGGTTACTCGCCCACCTCATGTAACTGTTGTAAGGGGCAGAGCTTCGCACAGTGCCCTGTAAGCGACAGGTGTGACCGTTTCCATAAGTGCTCAATAGTTTCTGGGCTTCGGGTTCCAGGTGCGGTTCCTGGAGCAGCAGAACCAGGTGCTGGAGACCAAGTGGGAGCTGCTGCAGCAGCTGGACCTGAACAACTGCAAGAACAACCTGGAGCCCATCCTGGAGGGCTACATCAGCACCCTGCGGAAGCAGCTGGAGACGCTGTCCGGGGACAGGGTGAGGCTGGACTCGGAGCTGAGGAATGTGCGGGACGTGGTGGAGGACTACAAGAAGAGGTGAGCAAGGGGATTCCCTGTAGCTTGACAACTGCCTTGTCCCTCTGAACTCACCCTACCTTAGGGCCCTGGCAGCTACCCCAGCTTAAAGTTTTTGGAGGTCGAGGGCAGTGTTCCTTGTCATACAAAGCAGAATCGCCCCAACACAACTCTGAAACTTGCTCTCTGCCTCTCCAGCTTCTGGCCTGGCACTTGGGACACATGTCCGGCTCAGTTAGCTGGACAGTGGTCAGAAGATTAACTCCACTCTGGGGTGAGGGAAATCTTGGGTAACGACTATGTTTTCCCAAGCTTCTGTGTCCTCATTGGTAAAAGGGGATTAAATCCATCTACCTCCCAGAACTGCTATGAGGGGTAACCCAGGAAATGCTCCCATTCATTTGTGAAGCTTTATTCAAATTTTGAGGGAGGAGATTGCTTTTTGCCTCCTCTGAGATTTCCCGTAGGGCATTCACTCTACATGCTTTGTCTTCATTTTCAAAGCTGAATCTTTAACAGTCTCCTCCTTCCAAACTTGGCTACCATGCCCCCTCCCTCAGGAAGCCTTCCTTGCCTGGCTGACCCCACCAATCGAGTACTCCACCGGCTCTCAGCACATGTGCCCTCTGACAGGGTCTACCCCTCACTCAGGGTCGTCCCTGGGCAAATGAGGTTTCTCAGTGATACATGTTAACCAACCGAGCCCGGGCATCTCCACAGGTATGAGGAAGAAATCAACAGGCGGACAGCTGCGGAGAACGAGTTTGTGCTGCTCAAGAAGGTGAGGGGAAGGCAGGCCCTGAGTCCGGGGCTGCCTGGAACCAGAGGTACTGAGTCTGCAGCGCACTCTGCTCTCAGAGAAAGTGAGCTGATTCAAAAATAGTGAGGAAGGCAGGGAACAAAGGTGAAAAACTACTCAGAAAAGAGAACACAGAGGCAGGAAGGAGGATGGCCTTCCTGATGTTCCACATGGATGGGTTTGTCATAGTGAAGAGCTGTAGAGGATGACACACAGGTTTCCTGCAGTCTCAGGGGCTGCTTATACATCACAGGGGTGACTGACAGCAACCTGGCTGGGGCTCCCTTCCTTTGAGGGTTACCCATCCCTGCCGATAGGGCAGTCTCAGGATGTTCCTTCCTCTGCTTTTCCATGGGCCCTTCAAGGAGAAGAGGGTGGCCACTCACCTGTGCAGGGCACAAAGGCTGGGGTAGCTGTTACCTCCTTACTGCCCTGGCAGTGAGCAGGGCATGGCTGGGGCATCTTTCAGGACGTGGACGCAGCTTATGCCAATAAGGTGGAGTTGCAGGCCAAGGTGGACTCTATGGACCAAGAGATCAAGTTCTTCAAGTGTCTCTTTGAAGCCGTGAGTCTGTCTCTCCACCCCACCCCTCTGAGGGCAGCCAGTGGGTAAAACTATTCTGGGGGCTGAGAAAGCACGGAGGCCTCGCTCTCAAGGAGGCCCCCTGGTTAGTCATTCATCTCCCACCTCAGCCCTGTGAGACTCCTCAATCTCCACCTTCTGGGTGGGAAGGAAATGGACCAGGCCCTGGTTCCATGGTGGCGGGAATCTGTCTGGGGCCCAGAGGGAACTAACCAATCCCAGGGAGCAACAGACCTGGTTGGGAGCCTTAAAGTTGGCATCACCAAGATTTGCTCACCTTCCTTGGGGAAGGTTTTGACCTTCAACAGTCAACTTCTGAGACTACCCTTGTTTCTCCTGCAGGAGATCACTCAGATCCAGTCCCACATCAGTGACATGTCTGTCATCCTGTCAATGGACAACAACCGGGACCTGAACCTAGACAGCATCATCGATGAGGTCCGGGCCCAGTACGAGGACATCGCCCTGAAGAGCAAGGCTGAGGCTGAGGCCCTGTACCAGACCAAGGTGAGTTGGGCCGGAGAGGGCAACCCCAGCAAGCACGAGGGCTGGGCCTGATCGTTCCCAGAACAGAGGCAATGCTCAGTTAAGTGTCCAGTGTGCCTGCCCCCATGACATCACCAACCCCAAACATCATGTGCTCTCACAACATGTTTACCATGCTCATCCATGACTCTATGCTCTGGGGTCCCCAGTTTCAGGAGCTGCAGCTGGCAGCTGGCCGGCATGGGGATGACTTGAAAAACACCAAGAATGAAATCTCGGACCTCACCCGGCTCATACAGAGAATCCGCTCAGAGATTGAGAATGTGAAGAAGCAGGTGAGGGGTCTGGTCATCTGTGGCCTGGGGCAAGTGGGCACAATGGGAGGGGAAACGAGTTGGCCGAGGGCAGCAACCTCCAGATCCCTGCCCATGAGAGGAAAGGGGCAGATAAGGTCACTGCCTCAAACATTCAGAGCAGACATCATTGAGGCACCTCAGCACTTACTCAGACCAAAGACCTCTGTTTTGGAACCCTCTCCCCTGACTTTCTCTCATCCCCCAGGCTGGGTTCAGACCACAGCCCTGTCCCGGGGTCTCACTTGTCACACTTCTATAATTGCACCCGCCTGTCTCTTCTTCCACTGGACTGGAAGGAGGCAGGGACTGGCTGCTTTGTTGCCTATTTTTCCAGCATCTAGTGTACTGCCTGGTGCCTGGTAGCAGCTTAATAAACATTTCTTGATTAAGTGATTAAGGAGAAGTGGGCTCAGAGAACACCCATTAAAGTGTCAGAGTTGGTCCCATGAATAAAGGCTGCAGACTCAGCTTTAGTAGGTGGCAAGACAAGATACATGCATATTATGATATAGCCACAGTTCCTGTCATTGTATCATATTGAATTCTCACAAAACTCTGAGGCAAGTGTCCCCCATTGTGACAGATGAGGAAACTGAGGCTCAGAGAGGTTAAGTGGGTTGCACAGCTGGTAAACAGCATAGTTGTGATCTGAAGCAAGGTCTCCTGACTCCCAGTTCAGTGCTCTTTCCACTCTCCCATGAGCTTTAACACTTAGTATCTCTGGACATTGGGCAAGTCACCTGTCCTCCCTGTACAGGTGTTATAAGAACTAGATAAGCTAAGGTATATAAAAAGCAGGTAAAGGGCTGAGTGTTGTGCCAGATGGGTGGTAAGCACTTGGGAAATAGGAGTTGTTCCTGGGGAATCTCCTTCCCTGTGCTCCTTGTCCATAAACCCATGCACCTGGTCACCACTGTCGCGGTAGCTGTAACACCATATTCCAGTGATCTCTCTTCCTAGACTTTAAACAACTCAAGAACAGAAAGCCAAGCTGGCTCTTACTCATTCTGTGTCCTTGGTACAGGGTGGCCAAGTAAATGTCTTTGCAATAACTGAAGTGGTGGTGATTAGCCATTGTCTCAGGAGGGCAGGATGCACTAGTTGTTATCACCACCGAAGTCTAAACATGAGGGAGTGGAGCTGGAGCTAAGGAAGGACTTGCAGGTGCCTGAAGGGGCTCCAGCCTAGAAGACGAGCAGGGGTGTGAAGGTGGAGGTGGGCATCCCTACTCCGAATGTCAAAGAACAATGGTATTTGGATGTAAGCACTTCCAATGACCCCTTTCAGTTTTCCAATGTCTCCAATTCCTTATTTAGGCTTCCAACCTGGAGACAGCCATTGCTGATGCCGAGCAGCGGGGGGACAATGCCCTGAAGGACGCCCGGGCCAAGCTGGATGAGCTGGAGGCTGCCCTGCACCAGGGCAAGGAGGAGCTGGCCCGCATGCTGCGGGAGTACCAGGAGCTCATGAGCCTGAAGCTGGCCCTGGACATGGAGATCGCCACCTACCGCAAGCTGCTGGAGGGCGAGGAGTGCAGGTGAGGGGGGTGCACTGGTAAGAAAGGGTTTGAGGAGGACCTCAGGGGAAAGCCTAACACATCCCAATCCAGAACAGATGAGTTCTTGGGGAGTAAACGGGCAGTGATGACATGAATAATAATAGTTATTAAAAGTCCCTACATGGGTGTGAGCACTTACTTCATACCAGGCACTGTGCTCCGTGGATTAACTCATGCAGCCCTCACAACTTACCTGGGTGTACCTAGGCACACTCTCCCCCTCGCCAAAAAACCCTCATTACTGTTTTCGGTCTGCTTGCTTCATCTTCCTTACCTGTCCAGGTACAAGATGAGCTTGTCTGAGATGTTCCATTCTGGCTTTCCCAATGTTCTTGGGAAAGGGGAAGGTTCAGGACCTAGGCTTGGCCCTTGGGAAGTGTGCATACCACCGCCACACGAGCACCTCACATGAACTACTTCTTGACTTAGGTTGCTGCCTGATTACCACAAATATTCAGGGACAGCCCCCAACTTCTCAGGCTCTGCTTGTGCCAAAGAGAACATGGAGTTTCCATAGGTGTCCATAGGGTTTAGAAACCCACATCAGGCCAGTGGAGGCACTAGCTCTGAGGTTAGGAGATCGTGGGTTGCATGATTGCTTGCTCTCATTTTATTTCTCTTCCTAACAGGATGTCAGGAGAATATCCCTCCCCTGTCAGTATCTGTAAGTACTTGTAGGCTTGGACCTAAAACTGTAGAATCTGTAGACCAGAAAGGGTCTCTGTCACACCCTGTGTGTGTTGATGAGCAACCTTAGAACCAGAGAAGAAAAACCCTTGTCTGAGTCGCAGAGCCAGACAGCAGAGGCATGGCCAGAAACCAGGCCTCCTGACTCCCAGCCCAGGGTTCCTTCCTCCTTATCACTCTGTCTCCCTGTCCCCAGGGGCTGGCAGCTAGGAACAGGGAGACATGCCATGGGGATGGGGGAACAAAGGACATGTTGCAAGAAAATGAATATGGGTATAAGTGAGGTTTGGGGAGCCACGTCTGCAAGTTGTGATCAGACCTGGGCTGGGGACTTAGAAGAGGCTGGAATTAATGAATAGGGACCTTGGAAGTCAAGCTGACAGCGGTGAATCTCTGGGTTTCTCAGTGAGGCTAAGAGAGTTAAACCAGAGCTTCTGAAAGATGCCATCTATGGGACTGTCAGCAGGAAGGAGAGGTCGAAAGAGGGAAAATTTAGCAAAAAAGATTAATAAAAAGGGCAAAGGGTGGCATCTGGAATGACGGGTGGGTACATTAATACCTGGACCAAAAGAGATGGGCCTCTGAGAGATAAGCAGCCAGGTTGGGTATAAGCTGGGGAAACCAAGGGCAGGACATGGGTGGAATTGTCTCAGGGATATTTTCCCCCAGGGGCGGGGGTCAGCTCTGACAGGAGCCCCGCCCAACCCATTGCTGCGAGAACCCCCAGCTCTCGCTGAGGGGTGCTGGCCCGCTCTTCCTCTGCAGCCATCATCAGCAGTACTGGCGGCAGCGGCGCCTACGGCTTCCGGCCCAGCTCGGTCAGCGGCGGCTACGTGGCCAACAGCAGCAGCTGCATCTCTGGAGTGTGCAGCGTCCGCGGCGGGGAGGCCCGGCGCCGGGGCAGCGCCAGTGACTACAAGGATACCCTGGGGAAGGGCTCCAGCCTGAGTGCCCCCTCCAAGAAGGCCAGTCGGTAGAGAGGGCTGCCCAGTGCCCTCCTGCCACCCCTGTGTCCCCAGCAGGGGCTCTGGCTCCCACATGTGCTCTCCCTAGCCCACTGTCAGCCCCCTCCTCCCCCTGCTCGTCCTGCTCTTGTACCTCAGGCTCTGGCCTTGGCCACCTCACTTCTCTCAACCCGTGTCTTGCTGAGCTGGACAGGTGTAGATGACTAAACCTGGTGAAATTCCTCCCTTCACACACCCGACGTTCGCCTCTTTGGCTCTGGTCCCCCAGCCATGCAGTCAGCTCAGCCCCTAGCTCCAGCCTCTGGCTCAGCCACTATCTGCTCTGTCTGGCCCCTGGATCTCAGACCCAGGGCCCCTCTCACACTAGGAGCTGGCTCTCTGTCCAAGAAAGGGAGGACTGAAGGACAACCATGAGAGGCTTGGTCCCCGTCCCATCCGCTCAGACTCACGACTCAACCTGAGTGAAGCCAGTCACAATGTAGGGTGTCTTTCTTCACTCTCTGCACCCAGAAGCAGAGAAGAGGAGGCCCGTTCACTCCTCCTTTCTTCTCACAGGCCCTCCCACTGCATCCTCAATAAAAGCACAGTCTGACCGTGTGGTCTCTCTGAGTCGTCTGGGCGTGTGCGCCGACTCCATTGACACACAGCCCCCGCTGCGTACCACCCAAGAGGCCCATATTTCTAGGCTAATTCTTCCCGTAGAGCAGAAACAGAAGCAGCTCTCAGAGCGGACATGGCAGAGGGCTGCAGACACCACTGGGGCTGCAGGGAGAGGAGCTTGGAGGCCAGTTTGGGAGGAGAAAGGGGGGGGG